AATAAATATGATTTTTTAAGGCAAACTAGTACACTTCAGAGAATCGACTTTTCAATGGAAAGCTTAGAATTTTCTAAAAAATCAACCCAAAGCCCAAATTGCTTGAAACTTTGCGCACATTTAGAAAGCTGATGCGTCTACAAACGTCCAAAATTTGATGAAAATAACTTTGGGGCTTTAGCAGTTATAATTTTTTTAGAAACAGATCGGCGCAATTGGGCCAGCGGCATTCGCAGAACACCCTGTACAGTTAAAATCTTCCAAGTCAGATGCACCGTTTTCCATTTCTCCATTAACCGTTCTGATGGTTTAAATTGCATTTGCTGCGTGATTTAAGGCTTGGCAGAGTTGAAGGCGTTTGGCAAACGATCGAATTTACCTGGATGAGGCAAATGCGCTCCATAATGGGCAGGAACCATGGCAGGTGGAATGTGGTACTGAACCACCTGCATGACCGGATATCCATGCATGTTTAGGCACCAGTTTCGAGAAATTCACTTCACTTCACCACCATCCAGGTTCGATTCTTGGACGAATTGTTCACCACCAACTGTTATCGACTTCGGAACGACGCATTAGCCTTTCGCAATAATGGAAATTATGGATTCGTGTTGCCATGGATGGGCGAATCGACCGACACAGTCCAGACGAAAGCCAAACGGAAAAAAGCGGCGAGAAATGGCCTGTTCTGAAGCTGCAAATCTGATGTCTGAGTTTTCATTGTCCTGGCCAGGGATGGCTTCGGCAACGTTTGCTTTCCGGCCGAAAAGTTCGGATTTTTGCCTCCTCTGGCCCTTAAGGATGTCGACTTTACCAGGAACTCTCCCTTGCTCACTACGTATTAATGAGGCGATTCTGCATGCAGCCGAGGGCTGCTTAAAGGGCTTCAAAGTGCCGTCCTGCCCTTCGTTCTCCCTATGGCGACGCGAGGCAACTTTTCCCTCTAATAGTCGATATTTTCGCCCTTTCTCGCTCCTTCCAGCCCTTGAAGGGGACAAATTCCGCATCCGGAAAGTTGACAACCGATGCAACTGCTTAGAAGCTGGATTAAAGCAGTTTGGGGTCTCAAGACTTGATTCTTTGTCCGGCTTGCAATTTAAAACTGCAGCCCGACGAAACTCGATTAATTAATTAATTAAATAGTGTTTGTTGGGAATGAAGAGCTTAATCTGAAGCGGAAGTGGAGCGCATGTGAGATCGCAATTAATTAACAAAGTCGAAGTGCTTGGAGGGATTAATCAACGTGAATTTGCATAATAACTAAAGTCCTCCGGAGTAGCTGCGTGCCCAAATGGCACGATTCCAATCACTCCGAATCGAGCAGACTGTTAAAATCGAATCCAACTAATTAGCTGATTAACCGTCATAAAAGACCCGGCGGATATAATTGGTCAACCACATGTTCTTCCAATTTATCAGTGGTTTTTAATTGGGCCTACAACAGGCCGCCGCCCACTGATGATGGCCACTTTTTGCCCATTTTCATATTGACAAAAATCGCCCATTGCAGCGATAGCCCGATGATCTGGAGTGTGTGTGTTAATTAACAAACGAGCCAAAAAAACGGTTTACAGTTGAAGAGGCGCGAAGAACCTGGGAATTCCTCGGCTCATTAAAAATCGCTTCAACGCTTTTGTCCTTCAAATTCTACGCTACTTTTTCGATGCTTCAAAGAAGCATCTTCGATAGAAAAACATGTTTTTTCGTCGCAGTAAGTGAGGGTTTCGGCGCTTACCAATCTGCGGTCGATATCGGGAGTTTAAGCTGCTGTTTCCATCGTAGCGGGGCCTGGGAGGCGGTCGTGGAGGCAGAGCAGGAGGCAAAGGGGACACCTCTATTCTATCTTCCTCTAGCTTTCGGGCTTGAGGCGTTTGCTCGATGTTCGGCCTGTCATCGCCCTCACTTTCCACCTGTAATGAGGATTTAGTGACTATTTCGGTCTACTGAAGAGTGTACAGGATGGTTTCCTATATTAAAATGGGTTAGAGCTATGAACTTTCAAACTAAGCGCGTCTGGAAGACCAAAGTCGCCTTCTGAACCTCTGAAAAAAACGCGTGTTGAAATCTCGAAAACTCTGAGATTGAATTTGGCTTGCAATTGTCTGAAAAAGTGCATTTTTCTCAATTAAAAAATACATAGGGCGCTTTTCGAGTTTGAAATAATTTTGAGTTACGAATGTTTGAACAAAGAGTGTCGCGAAGCCAAAAATCGCTTTTAAACTCAAAGGAGAAACTCGAAACTTTGAGTTCGAGTTTAGTTTGCAAGTTTTCCGTTAAAGAAACTCTTTGTCTCTATTGAAAAATATACAGAACCTTTTCCTGGCTTGGAGAACTTCTGAGCTATGAATTTTTGAAAAGAACGTCTTTAGAAGGCAAAAATCGCCCTTAAACATAAGGCAAGATTTCGGAAAATAACGGATCGAATTTGACTTGCAATATTTTCGTAAAATATGTTCCTTTTCTCAATAGAAAAATACACGGGACGTTTGTCTAGTATGGAGGACTTTTGAGCTACGAATTTTTGAATAAATCGTGTCGCAAAAGCAAAAGTCGGCTTTAAACTCAAAGAAAATACTCTAAATTTTGAGTTTCAGTTTAGTTTGAAAGTTATCCGTTAAAGAAACTTTTTTGCTCTATTGGAAAAACAAAACGAACCCAAAACGTTTTCCTAGCTTAAAAAGCATCTCAGGTACGAACGTTTGAAAAAAAGTCTGTAGAAGCCAAAAATCGCCCTAAACATAAGGCAAAATT